CCTATCAAAATTAAAAATTAAAAATTTAAATATTTGAATTGATTTATTCAAATAAAAAATTTTAAAATATAAAATTAAAATTAAAATAATTTAAATTTAAAAAAATTCAAATTCTTTAAAATTTTAAAATTCTTCTCCAGAACACACCATAATATTCTTTGTATTTTGAATAATTATATACGTCTGGCCACATATAATTAATTTTCACAATGTTTATTCATGTGATATTTTTTCATAACCTTATGTATGTTATTTATTTTATTAATTTCCTTACGACTATTTAATTTATTTTCAAAAAAATACTTCAATGTGCATTAAGCTTCGAATAATTACCGGTATAAAACAAATCCTTGTTTTAGTTTTTAATATTTAGCAAAAAATAATATATTTTTAATTCTTCACTAAAATATAAAAAATATATTATCTTTTTAATAATTTCTAGGAACTAAAAAACCCACAAACTAAAATAATTTTATAACATCTTGTCAATAAAATTTAAAACATATATTTTTCTTAAAATATAGAGAGGTACAAATTGTTTCTTTTTCTCCTAATATATATAAAAATTAACTAAAAAAATTAAAGACATAACTTTTATAATAAATCTCCATATTATTACAACATATCTTAAATAAATGATATAATTTTTACATTTTTGAATAATATTTATTTATTTTAATATTTTAATTAATGTTATTATAATTTATATTTCAAAGGTTATACTATATAAATAATATTAATTAATAAGGTAATAAATAATATTATAACCCATTTTATTTTATTTAACTTAAAAAAGATATTTATTGTCACACCACACCGTTCCTCTTCTCCTAACCTTAAACCTTGACCTTTGTTGCGTGCGGTAACTACACCTCGCTCGCTCAATCACTCTAAACTGAACTGAGAATAATGAAATGAAGAGGTTAAACTTAAACCCTATCTTATCCCCCATTTGTGGAAGAAGCAAGCGTGGAGCGATGGGAATCCTCGCCTTGCCCTTAGTCATCTCCGTTCTCAAACCCCACACCGCCACTCTCCTCCGCCCCTCACACTCCCTCCTCCGCCACCGCAACCGCCACTTCACCCCCGCCGTCTCCGCCGCCACCGCTCCTTCTTCTCACTCTCCTTCTCTCTCGCGCCACTCTTCTTCCGCTTCAACACATTCCGACACTCCTTCGCTTAACTCCTCCACCCTCACCTTCCAGCAAGCCATTCAGCGCCTTCAGGTTTTCGCAACAATCGAATTGCATTGCATTGCCCTCACTCACTCTCTCTCTCTCTCTTTGAATTTAAGAAAAATGTTCGTTTCTTTCTATATATATTGGAAATTGCAGGAATATTGGGCTTCCGTTGGATGTTCCGTAATGCAATGCAGCAACACAGAGGTAATTAAATTTATATCAATTTGTTACGTTGTTGTTCATTAATTCGATTCAATCATCTTATAGACTCATTGCTGTTGTTGTTATATTATTATTATTATTATTATTATAGTTCCTATGAACTATAGTGTAGAAACTTTTATACTGAATGAATCAGAAATCATGTTAGGTACCACGCTTAAGCTAGTTAGCATTCAAGTCATCGAACTTAACATACATAGCAATTTGTGATTGGATAATAGTGTATAAACTCTTAAGACTATCAGTGACTCAGAATGAGGATTATTTTCTGTTACTTTTTATATTATTATTGATTATTGATTATTGATGTTGTTGTTCTTATTATTATTGTATGCTTTTATTGTTTGACTTGATGAGTCTACATTCGGTTTTGAGCTTTGGATTGTGTTATTGAATCTTCTTTGATATATGTTTCAATTCGGATATTTTGAACAGGTTGGAGCTGGGACTATGAATCCTCTTACATATTTACGGGTTCTTGGTCCAGAACCATGGAATGTTGCGTAAGTATGTTTTAGATGTAAGTTATTGGTTTATGCATCAAAAACATCCATTTTTTATCAATCAAAGGATTTTACAGAAATGTTTTATTGGTAATTAATGAATTTAAGTTTTACCTCACTGAGAAAAGATACTAAAGTGCACATGTCCTTACCCCTCTGTATCAGTGCGCTTAATAGTTAATGAGTTCCATTGTTTTTAGTTGTTGTATTTTCTATTAAAAGGCTGTTTGTTTTCTTAGTGTTTTTTTTCTTTCTTGTAAGCTTATTTGAGTTGAGTGGATGCTATTTGTTCTTAATATTTGTACTTATTAATTTTTGTTATATTTACTTGGTAATGGTGAAAAGGAGTGTGAGGAGGGTTTTGGACCTGAAATTCATAGTTTTTTTTTTTGGTGGTGATAGGTATGTGGAACCTAGCATTCGCCCTGATGATAGTCGATATGGAGAAAACCCAAATAGGCTCCAAAGACACACTCAATTTCAGGTTGAGTTTGATATTATAATCAAATTCAGAATTTAAAGTTATTAGATTTTTCCTTGAATAACATGTGTTCATTTCTACCATTGAAGTCTTGGTTGCTCTCTGATCTCAGGTGATATTGAAGCCTGATCCTGGAAATTCACAGGATTTATATATCCGCAGCCTTTCTGCTTTAGGTAGTAACTGGCTCTGATTTTTTTAATCAACTAAAATAGATTGTATTCTTCTGTTCAACTGCTATTTTTGTTTTGACTTACAAGCATTAAGCATACAGATAGTGAACTTATATGAAAATAGAAGATAAATCTTATGAAAGAAGTAAGAAAACTTTCTCTTAAGGAAACTAAAGAAGCTTTGATTGGAATAAGTGCATATTCCTTTGCAACTGCTATGATTTTGGGTTGATGATCTGCAAGTTTATTTCAATTTCTTAAGCTTGTAGAGTGCACAGGCTCTAATTGTTCTTATCTCTGATATGCGTTTGCCTCTTTGGCCTCTTCAATGTTCATGATAAGTACTACTAAAGTTGACCCCCTATTTGCTTTTAAGGATTTATGTTGTAAGAGTTAGGACTGTTATAAGGAATAATTGGTTTGGGAGTTAGGGTGACATTTAGTGCGTGATGCTTTGTGTTTGGGGTTGGGGGTGGTTATTTATTGAGTAGTCTTAAATTACTGAATACTGAAGTAGGATACACCCTCGATAAGGGAAAAACCTTTGTTGTCTATGTCTTGTGCTGTAATTCTGGCTTAAGAACCATATTTTTTCAAGTAACAAATACATAATTCAGTGTGCTTACTCATGAGTTTAACACCTCCACTCTCTCTGAACCCGCCTAATGACTGACCTCTACTAGAAATATTGCTTGCAACCTTTCATTAACAAGTGACTTTAACCACCAACCAACAATATAAACAAGAAAGGTGAAACTGCCTCACTTCTTACTCCCCTTGAAATCAAGTTACTGGTATACCTTAACCATGGCAAATAAGGTGAAAGAGGTTTAGTTTTATTAGCTACTCAACATGACAAAACTGTATGGAATTTGTATAGTTCTTATTATACATTATTTTATTTATTTTCCGATTTTAAAACTCTGAACCTGAACTTGTGAAGTGCATATCTTTGTTAGGTATTGATGTTACTGCACATGATATAAGATTTGTGGAAGACAACTGGGAGAGTCCGGTAATATTTGTCCGTTTTGGTTTATAGATCTTTTAAAGCTGCCTACTGAAATGCAATTTAAATTATTATTATTATTTTTTTTTGTCTTTAAAATCTTATAAAATTTTGATCGCATCCATATGCTAATTGAAAATGTATATAGGTTCTTGGTGCTTGGGGTTTGGGCTGGGAAATCTGGATGGATGGCATGGAGATTACTCAATTCACCTACTTTCAGCAGGTATGTTTTGTTTCTCAGGGAGAAAGAGAATTATTATTTTTTAATGGTGACTAAAAATTATTAGAGAGAAGACATATCTTGCTTAACAGACATAGGGACTTTTAGTGTAAAAAGGAATGAAAACAGTTTTTTGACTTTTTCCTATTTACTATTGTTTTTCATCATGCAACCTTTAAAATGCTGCTCTTTTATTTAAAAAAGATGTGCCATTTACTTTCATGTTCTCGTCTCTTTCTCCGTCCAGGCTGGAAGTCTTCAGTTATCACCTGTATCTGTAGAAATTACTTATGGCCTTGAGCGTATCCTCATGTTACTGCAGGTATGTTGGCTAATTTTCTTTTTCTTCACTCAATCTCTGATCACACATTAAATAACTTACAAAAGTTTATAAATTTTGTGACAGGGGGTTGATCACTTCAAGAATATAAAATATTCTGATGGAATTACATATGGGGAGCTGTTCTTGGAGAATGAGTACTTGACTACTCTTACTACTGGTTTTGAATTGCATTTCATTTCATTTTTTTGCAGTGAAGTTGTTTGGTGTTACAATCAAGAATGTAGAGCTTTTCCTTTTATTTGTTTTATTCTATTTTATATTTGCTTTTATAACACATCAAGAATCTTTTAATTAGGGAAAAATGCTTATGGTCTGATGGCCATTCTCTTTCTTTATTCTTTAAATGAGAGGGGAATACAGAAAAGGACAAGGAAAGTTAGAAAGATAACTGAAATTCTGTAATGCAAGCAATTAGTTTCTTTCAACTAAGAGTTCATTTTTTGAACGGAGAGTTCTGTGAAGGACAAGACGTCCTTGCAAGACAATTTAAGTACTGGAAAAAGTAAAACAAAATTGAGTGCATTACTTCAAGAGACCTATAGTATAGAAATGGGAGAAGAGAGGAATGAAAATTATAACTAGAGGCCAAAAGGGAAAAAGGGTGAATCCTGCACTAATGGCCTGGGATATCTATATCAATTTCAGTGAAGATTGTAAGACAGATTTTTTTTTCTTCATATTATACTGGGAAAGGCATGGGGCCAGGTAGATTGCACTGGGAGTCGTAGGGCCAGGTAGGTAGATATTTGGATAGTTGAGGATGACCCAATGTCAAATCTATAATAGACTTTGATACCACCTTGAATTTAGGCCAGGTCTAACCCAAACTCAAAAGCTAGATAGACTTTAATACCATCTTGAAATTAGTCTAGGTCTAACTAAATCTCAAAATCTAGCTCATGAGGTGAGGATTATGGATTACCAAGCCTTTATAATTTGTGTTTTAGTAATATTGACTTTGTTGTTGATTAATGTTGATAATATTAACTAAATCTCAAAATCTAGCTCATGAGGTGAGGATTATGGATTACCAAGCCTTTATAATTTGTGTTTTAGTAATATTGACTTTGTTGTTGATTAATGTTGATAATATTTTGTTTTTCTATTCTAGGAAGGAAATGAGTGCATATTATTTGGAGCATGCTAGTGTTGATCATGTTCAAAAACATTTTGATTTCTTTGAGGAGGAAGCTCGTTCCTTACTTTCTTCAGGCCTTGCAATCCCTGCGTATGTTTATGACATTTTAATAATCTATTTATTGGATTTCATCCTCTTATTTGCTATTCAATATGCTTTGTGTTTCTTCTCTATCCCTGCTTCTGATGTATGTTTTACCACTACATGCTAGGTATGATCAGCTTCTGAAAACATCTCATGCTTTTAATATCTTAGACTCCAGAGGCTTTGTTGGAGTAACAGAGCGTGCTCGATATTTTGGTCGCATGCGTAGGTAATGCTTGATGCCTGACTTGTGACTTGAATAAAAGAAGGAGCTTTTGATGTAATTGCATCACTTTGGTTGTTTGATAAAGTCATAATCACAATTGAAAATCAATTCTTTGTCATGATGTTGTCCTGTGCAAATCTCTCAAATCAAAAAATGGATACATGGTAATATTTTCTCTCAGCACTAAATATTCATAAGACCATCTGTGGAATTCTTGTGCAATTGCTGATGCTATGCAATTCTGTTCTTGACGTTTTCTTGTTCAGTTGACTGGTGCAACGGATTTGGAAATTTAGGATTTGTGAAAATTAAGGGAGCGTTTGTTTTACATTATTTTCTATTCCCGAGAATATGATGGTGGGGATATTTATTCTCATGTTTGTTATAACTTATAAGGTTATGCAACAAGATTCCTGTATATCTTTTATTCCTAAGAAAATTACATTCCCATGATTCAAGGAGTTTTTATTCCCATGATGAAGGGGTGGGAAAGAAGTATTCATGGGAATATTGGAAGTTATTTTCTATGACACTTGTAATTTCCTTTTTTATTCAAATTATTTTAAATTTTAAAAATTTTCATAGGAATATTAAAATGAAACCAAACACCTTTTTAAATATTCTCAGGAATAATATTCCTGAAAATACAAAATGATATCTTGAAACAAACACTCATTAAGGCTTTTGTCTTGTCTCCAAAATTAGAAGCTTTGATTGGAAGAGAGTAATATTTTATTTCAGTATTGCTGTGATTTTTGGTCAATATTCGATAGAGGCAGGATCAAAACACGCTGTTATGATGAATCTGCTGTGTTATTTCTTATTTGGTTACTTATGATTGCATGACCAGTACTGGTGGATTTAAAGATGGAGAACTGATCCCAATTCCAATATTATTTCGATGTTTTATCATCCCATCCCATATTGCTCCTGAAAGAATACTCATTGTTAAAAAGATAAAGCCTGGACTATAAAATAATCGGTAACCCTAACAATTCAATTGTTGAATAAATAGACTTGTAATAACTTCTAGAAGAAAAACAAGTTTTTTATAGAACATTTTTTCTTTCATTCTTATTCATGTATTTGATTTCAACAAAAGAATGAGTCATTTACAAAATGCAAATTATGGCTTCACTGAACTGGAACAGAAAATAGGTAACACTGTATTTGAGAGACCTTGCACTCTCCTACACTCCCCCATTTGTCATCTTTCTGCCCTGCTTTTATATTTGTTCCATGGTAGTAAGTATCGTACGATTCATGATACGATATATGTGATTCGATACAATTCAAACAGCTGGAGATACAAATTGATGAGCGTATCATTTTGGTACTTGAATTGCACCACAAATCACTTGAATCGGATTGGATTTGCAAGAATTCTGACCTGGAGAAGAATCTCATGATTCTTGCATAGTTAAGTTCTGTGAGGCTGAAGGAGTTGCAACACCCTGACCCTCCTCCAAGGGTCAATGCACCTGGAGTGGTGTATTTTGCAGCCAAAATCCCAGAAAATGGTCCCCGAAGTGGGTGAATTCCACATCACTATGGTTCTGTCTATTATAAAATAAAAAATATTTAATTGATGTCATACTTCATTGATATTTATATTTCACTTACTGTTTAATATCTTTTTAATTTTTTTATGATAAATCATTATAAAACATAGTAATAAAATCCGTTATAGTTTTTCAATTACAAATATTTAATTAATATATAATTATTTAATGGCACAATATTTATTATAAATTTAATATTATTCTATTATAACAAATTTTATCTGAACTCATGCATTTCATGCTCTGAAACTTATGTTTTTTAGTTGTTGATCATGAATATATGTTTTAATATGTCTTTGTTAATTGTATATGCTATGCTTTATTATTGATCATGAATCATAGGATTCAAGATATGATTTGATTTGTGATTTATAAAATAGACTTTCGATTACACAATTTGTATTTTGATTCAACTACCTTGATTTGTTCAACTTACATGGTTTAGAGAGAAAGGAGAGAAGAGAAAAAGATAATGACCTTGAATTATGAATATGTTTTGATACAATGATCTTATTCAAAAGACTAAGGCACCAACCCTTATTCATGCTGATTAATAGACTCCTAATTCTACTTAGGAAACAAATCATGTTAATTAAAAAATGTGGAAACTAATCCTAGGAGATATTCTAGGATAAGAAATTAATATTAGGAGGTAATTTAAGATATTCCACAATAAATTAAAGATATTTTCCTAATTTTTTAACAATGTTTGTCCAGGTCAAAGTGTCCCTTGATTTCCCTTGTTTGCCTAGCTCACCAAAATCTTTTACAATAACTTTTCCCTATCTTTATCTCAACTCCCCTTGATAGTCTTTCTTGCAATCTGTTATGCGAACCATTCCCTCACAAGGAGAAGTGAATCCTCTGCTCTCCTTCCACCCCTTCCTAATACAAAACTTAGTAATAAGTGTCTTCCTAACAGATTTCTGCTACATTTGTACAAGTTGTACTATACCCAACATACTAGTTTAATACACTAGATGGTAGTGTAGCATTCATCAAGTTAGGGTATCACAGTACACCATAACTCCAATCTAGTGTTCCTTTGAGGATGTTTGGATGTTTTAGGGTTTTAATATGTACTGTTGATTACATTAGCTTGTTAGTTATTTTGTTATCCCTTATGTTTTTGTCTTGATTTTATGCATTTCATGGTGTTTTCCTTCATCTTGATTTTCTCCAGTTTAGCTCGCCAGTGTGCACAACTTTGGTTGAAGACAAGGGAGATGCTTGGCTTCCCCCTTGGTTCTATCTCTGAACCCAATCATTTTGTATTGCCAAAAGAAGTTTTGGAGGCTGCACGTGAGAAGGTTAGTTTGCATATGTGGGTCAGTCCAGTCACCTTATCCTCTGGGAAATTTTGATATTGCTAGTTGTGAATATGGTACACAGAACTGTCTTATGAGTCTCTTGGGTGGTTAGGTTGTTATAAAGTTAGTTACTGAGTTAGTTGCACAGCTATCACGAGCAGCTGTAAAATTCAATTTTCAAGTATTATCAATAACATAGTTCCTTTTCTTTCTAAATTGTGTATCACTCTCTGAATACATCAAGACTAGGTTTTGATGATTTTTTTGCTTTGGAAAACTGTTACTGTTTTTCATTATTAGAGTATAGAATTGTACTCTTCCTTTTACACTGAGCATTGTTGTTTTTTCTGTTTTTTAATTGTAACTGAAAGTGACACCAATTACTGTCACTTTTAGTACGCTAGTTAGCTTGTTACTTAAGCTAGTAGTTTGGTAGCTTCTCTCAAACTCGTCAGCAACTATATATAGTTGATCACATCTTGTAATTCAATAACACAAATTTTCAATCAATGATATTTCCATTTTCTCTAAAACTTTTCTAATATGGTATCAAGAGCAAGATTTGATCTTTGAACCATGGCCTCATTTTTTCCCCCTCCATCCCGTCCACCAAGATTGCAAATGTTAGCGATTATATTCTCCCACTTTGTTTATTAGAAACATGATTCAAAAAATTATCTCCTATGGTGTCAGCAAGTTGAACATGTAATCAAGGGACACCGATTGCATCATTATCTTGTCAATCCAATCCACAAATTCTTCCAAAATATCTCACTCTTGAAGATCAAGATGAAGATCGTGTCTTTGAACATACCTTGCTTGGGAACAAGAAGATCGACTTCTATTATCGTGCCTGTAATGGTCAATTTTGCGAAAAATGCTTACGTGTGTTATCAGATGCAGATTATCGTCGCAACTTTGGGACAAAATTCATGTGTTCTTTCATTCTCACACTTGTGCAAAAGTGAGACAATTGCAAACATAACTTTGCAATACATTGCTAAAAAATCACACTATCTTTGACTATGTTTCCATATTCAGGTGCTCATTGACATGGATGTCAATCTCTAGTGATAACTCGGATGTAAACTCGTTTTTGAGTAATCTCGGAGTAATCTCGGTAATCTCGCGAGATCACTTCCGATATTAAGAGATCACTTTTTTTTTTTTCCCACTTACACAAAACGCACGTTTTGTGTTTTGTGTGTGTTAGAATAACTTATTAGGGAAGCTGTTGTATTTAATATTATCTTTTTTTTGTATGCCTCATTAGACGTACTAGGACCTTAGTCTTTTACGAATATATTGTATGTTTTTATATACTCAATCAAGTAATGAAGAAAGTGTGAAAAACACTTTTCCAAAACCTTCTTAACATTCAAGTTGGTATCAGAGCGGGTCTGATCCCGCTCTGTTGCTCACCGTCGTCCGTCGCCTCCGGCCACCGTCCGCCGCCGTCGGCCGGCGACCAAATTCTTCGACGAACGTAGGGTTTGGTGCGCCTCGTTGAGCGCGACCCAACCCTGCTGGTTTCGAGCACATCCAAGCCTCCACGCGCTCCCACGCTCCGCCCCAAGTGTCTGTCCGTCAAGCGCGTGTGTCTCACGCGCCGCCTTCTGGTCGCCGGAAGTCCGCCACGCCACCACCGTTGTGCTCGCCTGAGCTTTCTGGGTCTATTTCAGACCTCAGTTTAGTGTTCCAGTTGGTCGTTTGGGTCTCGGTCACTGTTCATCTTCTTCTCTTCGTCTTTATTTCCGATTTTCTTCTTCTCCCATGGCTTCTTCAGGTCCTGCTCTTGCTATTGCTGGTACACCTACCATTACTGCATAAAAGTTAAATGGGAAGAACTATCTCTCATGGGTTGCATCTGTGGAACTTTGGTTCCTTGGTCAAGGACACCATGACCACCTAGAAAAGGAAGACATTGAGGGGACTGATGATTTTAAAGCTCAGTGGAAGAAAGTTAATTTTCAGTTATGTGCTGTTTTGTGGCAATCTGTGGAACCCAATATACTGGGAACACTTAGAGCCTTTAAAACTTGTTGCTCTTTTTGGAAGAAGGCTCAAAGTATCTATGCTAATGACATTCAAAGGCTATATGATGCTGCACAAAAACTAGCCTCCTTGAGACAAACTAGTCATGATATGGTTACTCATGTGGCTGAAGCTCAAGCTACCGTGGAAGAACTAAAATTATTTCTTGATGTTGAGTCATTGGAAAGAACGGCCCGTTTCACTTTGGGAACGGCCCGTTCCGGAAAAACCCAGATAGGCCTTTTTACATATTTGGAACGGCCCGTTCTGCCACTTCAAAAGCAGTTTATTTCCATTGTTTGGAACGGCCCATTCCACTTTTGGAACAGCCCGTTCCAGCCTAAAAATGAATTTTATATAAAAATTTTCATAAATAATTTTAAATTATTAAAAACCTTTACAATATTCTATAAAACCCTTTAACTAACTAAAATAACTATAAGAAAAGTAATCTTCATAAATAGATAATAATTGATATTGTAATAGTAAAAATTCCGGGGTGTTACAATTCTCCCCTCCTTTTAAAATTTTCGTCCCCGAAATTTACCTGAAAACAGAAATGGATAAGCTTCTCGCATCTTGCTTTCTAATTCCCATGTAGCACTCACTACCTTATTGATGTACAACTCTATCAATCTCTCCAAGAAATGTGTAATGTTTATAAGTACAAGGTGAGCAAACTCGGTAAGCCTATCCATAAAATCAAATTTCTTAAGAATATCATACATAACTACAACTAAGTCCATAGATACAAAATCTTATTTTCAAATTAGGACGTCTAAAGGTTGCAATAAATTTGAAAGTTCTTGGTGTTCTGCCCTAGTTTTCTAACATACTAAGCAAGCATACACAAATTCCTCCACTTCCCTCTTCATCTTAGGCCACCAAAACATTTTCTTAAGGTCTTGGTACATCTTAGTGGCTCCTGGATGGATACTAAGGATACTCTTATGACCTTCTAGGATTCCTCTCTTAAGCTCTGGCACACTAGGAATGCACAACCTATCCTTAAATTTCAACACTCCATCCACTCCAATTATAAACTCACTTTTCACACCTTGATTCAACTTTTCTACTTGACTCAATAAGAAAAGGATCTACCTTTTGACCTTCTTTAATCTCATCTATCAAGCTATTAGGCACTCTCAAAGCTCCCAACTTAATACTCTTAAGGTCAACTTACACCTTAAGTTCATATCCCTAAACTCCTCAATCATATGCAATTCCCTAATCATCAAAGAAGACATTCTCAAAGATTTTCTACTTAAAGGTTTAGCTACAACATTAGCCTTACCGAGGTGATAATTCAATTGGAAGTCATAATCTTTAAGAAATTCTAACCATCTCCTCTACTTCTCTTTTCACCTTAGACCATCACGCTTCCGCTGTGCCACTCTGATACATTTTAGTAACTCTTACATAAATGCTAAGAGTACTCTTTATGTCCTTTCTCTAAGATCATCTTCCTTAATTCGAGTTTACTAGGCACATAGATTCTATCCTTGAACCCCAAAACACCATCAACTTCCACTTGAAAAAGGCTATTTATATTCCTACCAATCTTTTTTTCACTTGGGTCACTAAAAAAAAAGATCTAACTCCTGGGTCCTCTAATCTCATCCATTAATCTATTAGTCCTTTAAACATATTCAATTCAATGTTTCTAAGGGTGAGCTCACACATCACGCTTAAGTTTCTAACATCCTCAATCGAATCCAACCTTTATATCATCAAAAATGATAGATGAATGCTCATCCTACTCAGGGCATTTGTCACTATATTAATTTTACTTTTATAACCCTCTCCACGGATTAGACGCCTAAGTGTAAGTTCACTATGTACTCATACTCGGTCTTCAAGTCTTACCACTTCATTTATACCCCGGGCAACCTCTTATTCACTACCTTGTCCTATAGCCTCATGCCTTGCCACCAAAATAAATCGACTAATTATGCTTATCCAATCCCCTTCAACAATCTACTCGTTACTCGAGTCATACCTAGTTTCCCACTACTAGGAGTAATTTCACAAGTCAAACTTAATTTTCTAATTTGAGCCAAAAGATACATCTCTTTAACCATAAAGAAAGATAAATATAGAGGTTTCTTATTCAAAGCATCGACCACTATTTTAGATTTACCTAGATAACAACTAAGATTAAAATCCTAATCCTTACAATTTCCAACTATCTCTTCTGTTTCATATTCAACTCCTTCTCCACATTGCCTCCAATCCAGTATTTCATGAGAGAACTAATCATATAGAAGTTGACTGTCATTTTGTCAGAGAGAAGTTGCTATCTAAGGAAATTGTTACCAAATTTGTCACATCCAATGAACAACTTGCAGATGTTTTGACTAAATCATTGAGGGGGCCTCGCATTCAGTTTTTATGTTCCAAGCTTGGTGCATACAATCTGTATGCTTCAGCTTGAGGGGGAGTGTTAGAATAGCTTATTAGAGAAGCTGTTGTATTTAATATTATCTTCTTTTTGTATGTCTGATTAGCAGTCCTAGGCTCTTAGCCTTTTCAGCCTATATTGTATGTTTTTATATACTCAATCAAGTAATGAAGAAAGTGTGAAAAACACTTTTCCAAAACCATCTTAACATTCAAGTGTGTGTTAGGGCACTCATTTAGCCTCGTCTCCTCTCCTCTCCGTTTCCTCTCCTGGTCTTCTCTTCCTCCGTGCCTCGTCTCCTCCGCGGCTCCTCCTCCGTGCGCCTCCTTTCCTCTGCGGCTCCTCCTCCGCGTTTCCTCCTCTCCTCCGCGCGCGCCTCGCCTCCTTCGTGCACCTCGCCTCCTCTGCGCGCCTCCTCCGCGTTTCCTCCTCCGCGTGTCTCTTTCTCCTCCGCCTTTCCTCCTCCGCGCGTCTCTTTTTATTTTTCTATTTTTAAGAACTTGTGCTTTGTCATTTGTGTGAACTTTTGTTAAGAACTTGTGTTAAGAACATTTATTATTGATGTAATTTGCTATTTTACTCTTTAATAGGGGGTTAAAATATTCAATTATTATGTTATTTTTAATTATTTATTTATTTATTAAGTAATCTCTTACGAGTTTACGATACGAGTTTACGGAGCCTTCACGAGATTACGTAAACTCTCGAGATTGACAACCTTGCTCATTGATGCTCTTACCGCATTTGGTGATACTATATTTGTCCGTGAACATGTTGATGTTATTATTGAAGTTCTTTCAGAAGAACATGAATCCTCCATTGCCCTCATCAACAATAAAATTGAACCTTTCTCCATTTATGAGGTTCAAACTCTCCTTCTCGTGCATGAATCTTGTATTGGGAAATTCAACAAGAAGACTATTGCTTTTGTAAATGTTGTAGAAGCATCTTCGATTTCATCTTGTCAACCTAATTTTGGTCAAGTGAATCTAGCTAAGACATCTACACCACATCAGGGAGATTATACCGGTTTTAATCGTACTATTACTTCTTGCGGTGGTCTTGGAGGCCGTGGAGGATACTCTGGTATTCAATGCCAAGTCTTCCATAAGTATGGTCATGAAGTTTCTGTTTTTAACCATCCTTTTGAACAAAGCTATGTACCTTAGGTTTCTATGGATTTTTCATATCAGCAACTTATGATGCAACCTCTAGTGCAACCTATGTTTCCAAATTGGTATTCTCAACCATGGAATATCAATTACTATCAGCCTCAGGGACTTCCTATATTGCATAATCAGTATATCAGGCGATCAAATACTACTGGTCCCCCTCCAACAGCTAATTCTTCTCAATCACTTCAAGCTATGGTGACTATAGCAAATCCTTTTAGCATTGGGAGTCAATATCCTGATTCAGTTGCTTCACACCACATTACCAATGTTTCTCATAACATTCAACAAGTCCCTTTTGAAGAACCTGATTAAATACTTAAGGAAATGGCCAGGGTCTTACCATTCAATCTACTAGTGTTACCAAATTCTTTTCCTCCCTTTCTAATGTTCCTCATATTCTTTAAAATCTTTTGTACGACTCTTAAATAACCAAAAATCCTATAAGTTTGAGTCTGTTTTCCAAAGATAACTATGTTTTCTTTGAGTTTCATTCAACTTTTTCTGTGATTAAATTTTAGGCCACTAAGGAAGTACTTCAAAGAGGAACTGTGGGATCAGATGGCTTGTACCAGTTTCCTTCTTTGCTACAAGGGACACAATTCAATAAAGCCTGTAGACAATCTTACTGTTGGTTCTAATCTCATTGTTAATATTGCTTCTATGTCAGCTGTAGCCACATGACATTTTAGACTTGGACATCCTAGCATAGATGTTCAACATATTATTTTCGGACATTGTAATTTTCCACCAATTAATAAAAATTCTTTTGAATTTTGTTCCTCTTGTCTTGGCAAAGCGCATAGGCTTCCCTCTAATCTATTGACAACTGTTTACAATAAACTGCTTAATTTACTCGCATCTATGGGGTCTTGCTCCATTTAATTCTTTTGGAGGTTATTCATACTATGCTGCCTTTGTTGATGCTTGCACAAGGTCTACTTGGATATATTTTCTAAAACAGAAATCTGAAACTGTCAATATATTCAAACAATAGTGTAGACTATTCAGTTATAAGATGATTTACTTACCTCTTCGATGGTTTGTTGAAAGAGGCAAAGAGCAATAGTGAATGTGGTTGTTTCAATTAAATTATAATTAGAATGAGGAATAAAGAAAGTTGTGATGATATTGTTGGATATATTGACTAATGACATGACTAAAATAGCGTATATAAGTGGAGAGAGAAATCCTCATTGCATAAGGTAGTTTTTAGGGTTGAGTTGGACCAAAACTGAAATTCTAAGATGGTACTGCCTATCATAGCATTTGTTGTTGGACCTATTGGGCCACTTGTTATTGAGATGTTATTTGACCACCCATAGATGTCCAATTTTGTAAAGTTTACGTTCGAGATGTGTAATTCTCAGGTTGAAAGGTGTGTTGGAGATCTTACATTCACTAATGATATGACTAAAACAATGTAAATAAGTGGGGGAAACTCATTACATGAATTTGCTTTTAAGGTTGAGATAGGCCTAAATCCAAACTCTAAGAGATATCATCTAGAGTATTGAAGCAACATAAAGCAAAATTGTTCTTACATTAAGCTATGTCCAGAATAATAAATTTTAAAAGATAAATAGAAATGGCCTGTACTCACAAGATTCATGTTGTGAGTTTGGGTCTTATCAGAAATGTAGAAATATTCAATTTCTGAAATATCCAATAGCAATATTGTTACCATTTACAGGTTTCCTGCTTAAAGAACATTCCCATCTTGTATTTGATTTTACACTTTCTATTGCTGGATGTAGTTTATTTAATTATTAATTCAATACGAACTTGTGGACAGGATTTATGAGCTGTGCCTCCCTTATGTAAATATTGGCTGTAAGAATGATATGATTTATGGAGAAACTAAATCATGTTAATGTTTAGCTTGAGTATGAGTTTCTTTGTTGATTATTATTGATGAATTTATATATAAATTAGTGTTAAATTTTAGCTTTTCTTTGGTTATAGGTGCATGATCATTCAAGGGCATTTGTTCTTGAAATTGGGACCGAAGAGATGCCACCTCAAGATGTTGTTGATGCAAGCAAGCAAGTATGACTTAATTTCATCTTATTAATAAACATGAAAATTTTCACCTCCAATTTATCATTTGTGTGACTTAATTAAATTTATTATTACTAGTAATTTAGCCTATACAATGCACAAACATGTTTATTATATATGATATAATTAAAATTTATAATAAATTATGTATAAATAAATGCTATGTTTGAATATATATATATATTATATTTAAAATTAGTATACATAAATATTTTAAAATATATTAATTATATTTTAGATTATGATAAATAATTTGTATTGTAACAAAAAAATTATTTTTAGTTATTGATAATTTGTTTTAAAATATTAATATTTAATTTATAAATAATTATGATAAATAGAAATTGAATTAGTTAAAAGTTAAAAAAATCCTTACAGACTCTATCGTTGGAGAAAAGTCCTTAAAAGTACTCTTTTACAAGATAGATGCCTGTGTTTAATATATAAGGAGTGATTTTTCTATTATGATTTTTTAATGAATTGTTATTAGTATTCTCCATCATTGTTCAATATTGATTCTACTATGCTGGTTATTGTAGCTGAAAGATTTAGTGCTGCAACTACTTGAACGGCAAAGGTTAAAGCATGGTGAAGTGCAAGCTTTTGGCACCCCACGTAGATTAGTGGTGCGGGAATAAACTTTATCTTTGATATACAATTATTGTTTCTTGGTGTATTGCATTTTTGTAATAATTGTTTTTGAGATGAAGCTGTTATTTTCTTCATTCTTGTGGATTCTTCTTAATAGTTTCATGTTGGATTTCCTTACTTATCACAGGAAAAAGCAAGTAAAGAGAATAAAAGAACAAAATAAATAAAAGTGATGGGTTACCATTTATTACTTACCTACAAGTCTGGCATTGTGTTTTGACGAGTAAAAACAATTTACACTTGAAAAATTATTAAAACGAGAGATTTTGTCTCTTGCAATACACTCTACAGTCTACATTAAGTTATATTGGCTCTAATAGGATAAATGACATTAGACTTGTCATTAGTGTGGTTTTTTTTCCTTGTGTAAATACCTATTCCAACTTTTATGTGCTAACTTATCCCCCAACTGTTAAAGGTTTCTTTTTAATAAATCTATTCTGGAATTCAAAGCTGGAGGTCTTCATTTGTTTGGACTACAGTACATAATAGAATTAATGCATATGACATTACAGAAACATAGGCTTCAAACTGATGCAATATACAAAACCCATTACTTAATGTCAATATTATATTGTAGAGCATTTTAGATAATCTCTCAGGATTAGTTTCCATATTTCTTTTTAGTAATCAATAGCATGTAATTGTGCTGCTATAGTGGCATCGTGTTACAATGCAACCCCTTTTTGCTTCTATTTGGCCTGTAGCAGAGTTCAGTGTTGCAGTTGTTGCTGTTTGAATCATGGATGCTTCCACATGGAATTGTGGCCATCTTAACCATTATTCTTTCCATCTTTCCATGTATGAAACCCCCCTTTTGGCCCCACAAATGATGTTGTTTGATGCTGTTTTAGGGGGACAATATTGGGATCCCCCCGTTGTTTAATCAGAACACCCCTATTTTCCCGCACCTTCCTTTCAAAAGCTAAATAAGGTACTACTCTCATTGGTCTCTTTTCTCTTTGACATAAACCGTCTTACGCAGAGTTCTGAGCTGCGTTTCTGGTCAACCCACAATCTGTGGAACTCTTATGCCGCTCTATGTTCTCATCCTCCAAGGACTATTCATTAGTGTTGAAGATTGGACTGGACTGCAAAACTCTTGAACTGGTCTAGTATCCATCCAAATAAACCATAGAACTAGCCTTGAAAAGTACTGGTTATAGAGCTGGAAAACGGGTCAAAAATCAGTAAAAACTGGCCAAAACCCACTTCACAGCGGATCAGTGAAAAATACATAAAACAACATTGTTTTGACTTTTTTAAAAAATGAAAAATCTACCTAGGTTATTTGTCATTTTCTTTTTTATTCTAGGTGTTAACTTGTTATTGTTAATGAATATTGTTGATTCTGAAATCTAAATCATATATTCTTGCACTTTTCTTTCTTTTCTATAATCTAATTTTTTTATCTCCAAGAGAAATACATTTGACTATAAGTGTTCACATTATTTTTATGAATAATGTCTATAGGGTGTCTCTTTTCCCCGAAATTTGCAACGGGCTTAGCATTGTGTTTATGGCTTTATTGTGTTCTGCTCAAATCGATTTTAGGTGAATGGTTATCTCTCATATGCAGAGATTATACAGCTTTCTTGCATTTTTGATATTCTATTTTTTTTTTTCTTCTGTTTCTTGTCTTTTGGAGAATGCATTATCCTTAATTCCTCATCCTTGTTGTTCCTACCCTCTTTAAGTCTTATGGTTTTCTGTAAAAAAAAAAGTGAAGAATTTGCATTTGTTTATATGCAGGATTAATGGATAGAATCATAAATTCAACAGTTAAAATTTATGAGTTGTTATTCCAATACATACATCATAAAATATTCAATATTCAGAATTATTCATATTTGAATTGACAGTAATCATATATTTTTCCTGTTGTGAATTCCACAGATTGCTGTTGAAAATCTTTGCACAAAACAAGCAGAAAAGGAGGTTGAAGTTCGAGGTCCTCCTGTTTCAAAAGCATTTGATCATGAAGGAAATCCAACGAAGGTTTTGCTATGCTCTAGACTTTTTATCCTTAGTTGAGATTCAAGAAATGCCTCCTAATTTTTATTTTACTTTTTTTGTGTCAGGCGATTGAAGGTTTTTCTCGTAGATACTCTGTTCCACTTGACCTGGTATACAGAAAGGTTGATGGTGAGTATCCAGATGCAAAACACTTGTTGACTGGGGTAGTGGTATAGGAGTATAGTTTTACTCTATTACTTTCTTCTAATATACAAAAGTAGTATAGTATTTATTTTCCTGTACAGTAGTAGCTTAGTTTGTAACTGACAGCTGTCGCTGTCATATCTAACTAATCTGTATTAGTTAGAGTCTGTTTGTAGCTTCTATTAGAAGCTTTGCACTTGATCAATAAATAGTTAAATACCTAGTGTAAATATGACATCGGTGGGTTGAATTCATTTTTAACAAACACAAATATCTTCTCTCTCTTTTTCACTGAACTTTAATATGATTTCTATCTGAGTCTATCCTAGTTCCACTAAAAGAAAGGGTTACTCATCATTTATCTATGCACCAAACTCAATAGTGTTGGGTGTGATGTGTATTGAGAAAAATCTAAGTTCCATATTGACTATAGATAAGGTCAAGATAGAGTATATAAGTGGGGGACAATTCTCACCTTACAAGCTGATTTTGTAAGGTTGAGTAAGGCCCAAACCCACATTGGCTTATTGTCCTTTTCATTAAATCTTTATACAGAAAAATTGACTTGACACATTTTCAGATGCTGCTTTGTAGAAAGGAAATTTAAACTTACACCATTTGAATGTTCAACTTGATTTTCAAGCACTGCAATTTAATTTGTGCAACTCTTCAGTTTTCCTGCAACTATGCCTCAGTACCATAAGCTCAATCCTTTAGTAGGCACTTAAATGCAGTTTCCTGATGTTGCAGGGAAAACAGAGTATGTTTATGCCCGTATAAAGGAGTCATCAAGACATGCTCTGGAGGTTCTCTATTCTTTAGTTTCACATCCTTTTTTATGCTTGTTTATATGTTTTGTTAAAAGCGAGTATAATATTGCAAATATGAGTGTCTGTTTCTTTAAGGTATATGTTTAAACCTTTTAATTCTAGACCAAATAAATATGTCAATATACTAAATTACTAATACATATTTTAATATGACTTATAAAAGCTCTAGAATCAACTCAGATCTTCCTCTAATGAAATGAGTCTAATCTATTATGCTACTCTGTATTCAGGGCGCATTTGTACAATATCCACATAATTGACTATGCCAATTCCATAATGGATTATGTGGCTTTGCTATACTTCTAACATGACCCAATGGATTATTTGCCAACCATAGTTAATCATGGTCATCTCACGTACACAAATAACACGTCAGATAATGGATTAGGATCCTATCATTGATGATTATGGTGGCCTCCAAGGCACAAAAATATCATATAACATGCCACCATAATGGATTATTGTCCTACCATAGTTGATTATGGTAATCTTCAGTACATAGATAACATGCCATATAATGGATTATAAATCCACCATAGTTGATTTTGGTCACCTCCAATACACAAACAGTTATGAGATGGGTTGAGGTGTGAAGAGAGATGGAGAGCTCGTTGGGATGAGAGGAAGCACAATAGTCACATGAGCAAATAGGTTGAGAAAGAGAGTCACAGGCAGCAAAGTAGTGCTTTGTCTCAATGGGGTTATTTGTCATAAAAATTTGAGGTGTGTTATTTCCCCTCAAATCCTCACAATTTAAAGGGTAAGAAGTTCGGTGTGGGACCCATGTAATAATCTCCTTAATTCCACCCAAATCCACTTTACTAATCAGGAATTTTTTTAGAGAATGACAGCTCAGCTGCTTTGATGAACAAGTGGTGCTTATGTCTAGTTAGTTACTTATATTAAACTTGGAAGCTTGATTTTGATAGAGTCCCCTTTATCAAAATACATTTTATGATATCTAATTTTTAGCAAAAAATACCTAATTTTGTGTACTTTTTTCTATAGTAGTTAGTATTAGATGCATTGTGCGATTCATATCTCGATACGCAACAGAAAACATCCCTCATGATATGAATCGCATGCTATATCATTTTGAAGCATGAAGCGGAGTATGTATCGCTTGAATCGGTTGATTCGCAATTCTGAAACTGTCTTGCACGGTTCAAAATGTGCAAGTCATAGTAAAATAATTGGTCAGGTTTGTGACACTTTTTTGTAAAATAGCATTTTTCCCTCTTTTATTTTTAATTTCTTTTTACAAAATAGGGGAAATCATCGAAAATCAGTTTTGCATTTGCATCTCTTTGATTTCAACCGCCCTCAATTTTTTAACTGCCCAATTTTTCCTTTATATTTGAAGAATAGAACATGGTGTATATGCATGGTCTCTTGTCTTCTCACTTAAATGTAACTTGAATCAGACCCAATAAGCAGTGTGCAATTTTAGCTTTTTCGGTGGACCTGGTATGTAAAGGAAATATTTAATTCAAATATTAAATTTTAAGCAGACCATGAGTTTTACTTTAAAAAATTAATATTCTCTTCTATCCTTTTTCCTATATCTTGCTTTTTCTTCTTCTTTTGTTTTCTTTCACTTCTAACCTTTAATCTTTTACAATTTTACGTGTTATTTGTTACTTCTTTTGTTGTGTCTTATTTTTTATTTATTAAAATACTAAATTTTTATTGATAGTGTATCTTACAATTCATATTACGATGCGATTCACGATTCAGAAATTAGTTCTTCCAATTCACGATTCGAATCTTGATTTGATAACCATGCTTTTTCCCCCCTTCATATTATATCATTTGTAGTATGGTTAATCATTACAAATGTTTCTCGCACATGCTAATTCACTTGATAGAGTTATAGACATAGGGACAAGTTCTGCCTATGGTTTCATTATATGATACAAGAGTTTTGGAATGTGAATTCTACACTCTGTCATTTAGGCTTTGTTTGGGGGAGAGGAAGGAGTAGAAGAGAATAAGTGAGAATTGATTTATAGGAATTAGGTAAGAAATTGAATGAAATAGAATGGAATTTGTAGTTGTTTGATAGAGTGGAATTAAGTAACAAATAGAGTGAATTTGGTATTTACAATTACTATTTTACCCTCACTTTATAATATAGTTAGAATTAATATTTTTTGTTTTATGTAATTTTACACATTTTCCAAAATCCACAAGAATCCCCTCAATAGAGAGGATAAAAAATGATGTGGGACTCACAATTCTACTTAAATACCCTCTACCAAACACAAATGTTTTTTTTCAAATGCAATCTAATCCATCCCCCTCCCTATTAAATCACTTCCACCAAACATAGGCTTAGGATTTATTTCTCTATGCTTCTTACACTCTAAGAAAGATGTTATTGCTACTGAGTATTGATTTGTTCTGCTCTTGTTAGGTTTTGTCTGAAGATTTACCTGCTACTATTGCTAAAATTTCATTTCCAAAGACAATGCGTTGGAATTCTCAGGTATGCTGGAATTTTAAGTGGGTTTCTGTAGGGAACATGACTTTATCAGCAGAGATTATAAACATTGAAACATAGATAGCTATTGTTGTTAACTAACTCTCCCAAGTTATTGGGTGAAGATATTTGAATAACATTTATTATTATTGTTAAGATATTCTAAGATATAGTTTAGATATATTAGTTTATCTTAATCCCTAAACTTTAGGGATTGTTTCTGATACTTGTCTATTTATTTGATTGTACCCATCAATTCAAAGTAATAAGAAATTATTCATATTCAAGTTGGTACTAGAGCACTCTGGTCCAGGAACCCTAATCCAGCCGCCAACATCTAGGTTTTTAGAGTTTTGTCCGTGGTTGCCGGAGTTGACACCGCCTGCACATTCAGAGGTTGCCGATCGGCCTCTCTGTTGCGAGCCACCGTCAGTCGCTGTCTCACGCGCTCTCACGCGCGGTTCTTGTTGAGGAAGCTCCCTGGCACGTGGGGTTCACGTGCCACCCTCCAGGCCTCCGTTTGCAACGCGGTTCACTCTGTTGGACTCGCCGACCCTCCCTCATCTCGTTTTGACCCTTTTCAGGTTGTGGGTCACACTCTAGGTGGTCTGTTGGTGGTCGTTTGGTTGCGGCTTCGGAGTTCCGTGGTCGTTTGGTTGTTGTCTCGAAGTTCCGTGGTTGTTTGGTTGCTTTCCCGGAGTTTCGTGGTCGTTTGGTTGTTACCTTGGAGTTCCGTGGTTGATTGTTTGCTGTTTCTGTGGTTTTTTGATTGAGTTTTTCTTTTGCTGTTTTTCTCCTTTTTCTCTTCATGGCAGAGATTCCCAAGGAGAATCCAAAAATTGAATCTTCCAAAAGGGGGTTGGTCTCCTTTGCCTTTTCTGGATCACCTACTATTACATTTGAAAAGCTTAATGGTAAAAATTATTTGGATTGGTCCAATGCGATTGAAATGTGGTTTTTAGGTCAGGGTCTCTATGATCATCTTACTAAAAGGGCATCCGAAGTTGATAAAGAGGTGAGAGATGAATGGAAACGGACAGATTATCAACTTGTATCTTTATTGTGGCAGTCCATTGAGCCTAAATTAATGGTGCACTTTCGTCCGTACAAGACATGCTATGATATTTGGAAGAGGGCTCGAAATGTCTATGCCAATGATATCCAAAGATTATGAGTCTGTTCATGGTCTAGCAACCCTTTGTATGGTTGATAATGATTTGTTGACGTATTTGAATCGTGCTCAATCCACTATTGATGAACTCAAGCTAATGTTGGTTAGTGATGATCCTCAACAAATATTAAACAAACTTGATAATATGTTTATGGTGTTTATCCTTCAAGGACTTGACAAAGATTACGGGTCTGTTCGAGATCAAATCTTGACAAATCCTTCCATTCCTACAGTAGAAGAACTCATAGATCGATTGATTCGGTCCCTTCATCAGAGTAGATCCTCACATAGAATCTAAGTCCTCTACTTTTATCTCTAGTACAACTGATCGTGGAAGTTAAGGGCGTGGTCGAGGTCGTGGTCGTGGTAAAGGGGGTAGAGGAAACCTCCATTGTACCTACTGTCAGAGAGATGGACATACACGAGACAGGTGTTATTCCTTGCATGGCTTTCCGAGCAAGACAACTAATGTGGCTCAATCTCCAACTTCGGCTCTAGAGCCCAAGATTGAATCTGAGGGCAATCATCCAATCTCATTCTCTACCGATGATTACAAAGAGTATCTTCAACTGAAGGCAGCGCAACAAGCCTCTTTCTCTGTCACTCTTGCTCACACTAGTAATTCAACCGTCTGTCTCTCTCATTCTACGTCTATTGGACCTTGGGTTTTGGACTCTGGTGCTTCTGATCACCTAACTGGTAATGTCTCCCTTTTTCCTAGCTTATCATCACCTAAAACTCCACATCATATCACTCTTGCAGATGGGTCAAAAGTCCAAGCCCCTAGTATTGGCCAAATATGACCTATCCCTTCACTACCATTAAAATTTGTTTTACTAGTTCCTGGATGTCCCTTTAATTTGATTTCTATAAGTAAGTTGACTCGGTCATTAAATTGTGCCATAACCTTCACTTCCGACTCTTTCTTGATACAGGACCGGAGTACGGGACAGACGATTGGAGTTGGATGTGAATCACATGGTCTCTACTACCTTCAGCCTTTTACCTTTACCATATGTGCATCTGTTGAGTCTCTTAGTTTAATTCATCGTCGCCTGGGTCATCCAAGCTTGAATAAATTAAAGAAAATGGTACCTCATCTCTCACGCTTGGAATCCTTAGACTGTGAGTCATGTCAATTAGGGAAACATGTTAGAACTTCTTTTCCTAAGAGTATTAATAGTCGAGCTGTGTCTCCCTTTGATGTCATTCATTCTGATGTATGGGGCCCTAGTCGAGTTCCTTCTCTTTTAGGGCATAGGTATTACGTCACCTTTATTGATGATTTTTATAGATGTAATTGGATATTTTTCATGAAAAATCGTTATGAGTTATTCAATATTTTTCAAAGTTTCTATTCGGAGATCAAAACTCAATTTGACAGAGTAATTCGGATTTTACGAAGTGACAATGCTAAAGAATATTTTTCAGATTGCTTCACATCATTTAGAAGTGACAATGCTAAAGAATATTTTTCAGATTGCTTCAAATCATTTATGACTTCCCATGACATTCTACATCAATCTAGTTGCCCTCATACACCTCAACAAAATGGTGTAGCTGAGCGAAAACATAGGCATATTATGGACACTGCTCGTACTCTTTTATTGAATGCCAATGCACCCCCAAAGTTATGGGGAGATGTTGTACTTACTGCAGGGTATTTAATAAATCGAATGCCATCCTTTGTCTTGAATGATCAAGTACCTCATTCCCTATTATCCTCGTGTCTTTGGTTGTACTTGTTTTGTCCATGATCTTTTGTTAGGACATGCTAAGTTGTCTGCTCGGGCTATCAAATGTGTGTTCTTAGGATACTCCCATGTTCAAAAGGGGTACCGCTATTACTCTCCTGCTACGCATCGGTTTTACACTAGTGCAAATGTCACTTTCTTTGAAAATACACCATATTTCGTTACTACAAATGTCTCTTTGGTTGACTCAGATCTCCTTTCTCTAGTATTGCCTATTCCTCATTTTGACCCCGGTGTGCCTTCTACACCTACTACTTTAGAGGCACCAGAGATTCCTCCCACACCACCAGGGTTTGATCGTCCTCTACACTGATTTGGGATAACCAATGAGCGTCCGTCACATACTGCTGTTCCTCTCGATACTTCTACAATTTAGCCATGTGATTCTGCCCCTGCTCTAGTCTCCTCACCTACTCTGGCCCTACCTACTTCAGTTGACTTGCCCATTGCTCTTTGTAAAGGTAGTCGTTCTATTGGTAATCCTTATCCTATTTATAACTTCCTTTCATATCATTGTTTGTCTCCTACCTATTATGCTTTTGTCTCTGCTATTTCTTCTATTACCATTCCCAAGACAGGGCAGGAAGCATTAAACCATCCAGGATGGCGACAAGCAATGATTGATGAGATGACAGCTTTAGACTCAAACCACACTTTGGTACTTGTCCCACCTCCGCTTGAAAAATATGTTGATGGTTGTCGGTGGGTCTTTAATGTTAAAGTGGGCCCTGATGGACAGGTGGATAGATTGAAAGCCCGTCTTGTGGCTAAGGGATACACGAAAGTATATGGTTTGGACTACAGTGACACTTTCTCTCCAGTTGCGAAAATGGCCTCGATTCGTCTCTTCTTAGCCATGGCTGCTATGAGGCATTGGCCTTTGTTTCAATTAGACATCAAGAATGCCTTCTTACATGGTGATCTAGAGGAAGAAATTTATAGGGAGCAACCTCCTGGGTTTGTTGCTAAAGGGGGATCTGGTCTTCTGTGTAAATTACAAAAGTCCTTGTATGGCCTCAAATAATCACCTCGCGCTTGGTTTGGTTAGTCTAGCAAAGTTATACAGGAATTTGGAATGATCCGCTGCGAGGCAGACCACTCTATCTTCTTTAAACGCTCACTGACACATGGATTTGTCTATCTTGTTTATGTAGATGATATTGTGATTTCAGGTGATGATCAGGAGGCATCAAGGCTCTGAAGCAGCACTTATTTAAACACTTTCAAACTAAATATTTAGGCCCCCTGCGTTATTTCCTAGGGATTGAGGTCGCTCAGTCAAAGTCCGGTATTGCGATTTCTCAGAGAAAATATGTCCTTGATATTCTAGAGGAAATCGGACTTACAGATTGTAAGCCAGTTGACACTCCCATGGATCCCAATGTGAAGCTTATGCCTAATCAAGGGGAGCCTTATCCTGACCCAGGAAGATATCGGAGATTAGTAGGAAAATTGAATTATCTCACCATGACCAGGCTTGATATATCCTTTCCTGTTAGTGTTGTAAGTCAGTTTCTTAACTCTCCCTGTGAGAGTCATTGGCATGCAGTTGTTCGGATCCTTAGATACATCAAGAGATCACTAGGAAAGGGACTTGTTTACAATAATAGAGGACATATAGACATTGTTGGATATTCAGATGCAGATTGGGCAGGCGATGCAAGTGATAGACGGTCAACATCAGGCTATTGTGTCTTCATGGGTGGTAATCTTGTCTCATGGAAGAGTAAAAAGCAAAGTGTTGTTGCACGATCAAGTACAGAAGCAGAATACCGTGCTATGGCTCACACCACATGTGAGCTCCTGTGGCTAAAATTTCTTAATTCAAGAGTTGCAGTTTTGCAAGGTTAGACATATGGAACTAGTTTGTGATAACCAGTCAGCTTTATACCTCTCCTCTAATCCAGTTTTTCATGAGAGAACAAAGCACATAGAGGTTGACTGTCATTTCATCAAAGAAAAGATCCTCTTCGATATCATCGGCCTCCTCAGTTTGTTCCAAGGATCAACTTGCAGATATCTTTACTAAATCTTTACGAGGTCCTAGGATAACATATATATGTAACAAGCTAGATGCATATGATGTATATGCTCCAACTTGAGGGGGAGTGTTAAGATATTCTAAGATATAGTTTAGATATATTAGTTTATCTTTTCCTAATTTATAGTTTATCTTAATCCCTAAACTTCAGGGATTGTTTCTGATACTTGTCTATTTATTTGATTGTACCCATCAATTCAGAATAATAAGAAATTATTCATATTCAAGTATTATATCTCACTCTCTCTCATGCAATAGCCCTTTGTGCTTGAAACATGGACATTGCACATGCCCACCATACCTGGTACTGAAATTTGACATATATACTAAGAAGAATGTGGAAACAAAGATCGCATGATTATAGAGGCTTTGATACCATATCACAAACCAACACTCCTAAAAGCCTAAGTAGTTAGGTGAAGAGACATAGGAATGTTTTTAATATTATATTTCTAACATAGTGATTTGTATTGCAATTACAGTACAGCTGTAGTATAGCTAAATAGTATACTAATAATAGGGTGTTGCTAATGAGTGCCCTAAGGGTATTGGTTAAAAAGCATTGAATGCTCTCAATTACTAAACAGAACAAGTACTGAATAATTTATGTGTTTTCAATATAATAAATGTTTTCTTTTTCATTAAATATTTTATATTTTTGTTTCCTTAACTTGTGTTTAATGTCATTCTTTAGTATGTGCCAGTTGACATAAAATAGTCGTACTAGAAGCAGGAAAAGATAGTGAATGTTCTGACCGTTTTTGAATGAAAGGAAGCTGAATACTGTCATTGTTTCTCAATTTTATTTGGAAGACTCCTTAAAGAAACATTGGAAAATGCAACTAGCTTTGCTGCATGAAGTTATAAATAAATGAAATGCTATCATGTGTCTTTATTTTGTAGTAAAGGAAATAGCTGGAAACATAAAATTAACATTTTTTCATACTTTTTAATATATAGGTGATGTTTAGCAGGCCTATCCGTTGGATTTTGGCCCTGCATGGAGATGTAGTAGTTCCATTTATGTTTGCTGGGGTGACGAGGTAATTTATTATATTCAGATATTATCTCTATTTTGCCCTCTCTTAAAGCATACGTTTATAGTTGACTTTGTGCTTTTTAGACACCATTTCAACAGAACTTCATGAGTAGTATGCTTACCTTAACTGTTTCCATGTTTCTTGAAGAGATTTTACAAGTTAAATACTGCTGGCAGATCCCTAATTGAAAAGGTGGTTAGTGTGAGTTAGCTGGTTTGAACAGTTGGTTAGAGAGGAAGATAGATGATTGAATATAAAATAATATGAAGAAAAGTAATAAAGATCGGTTGTGGATTTTGGAGTGCAAATTGAGAGGCAGAGTTCAGGTCTTTTGGATGCCCGGGGGGATGGGGAGAGAAGCATACTTTTGTATCATTCTTGATTTCTATGCCATATCTCCTTGGTATTGATCAGAAGCTATTAATTGCAATAAAGATTGTTCTTATTTCTGTTTTTGACTGAGCTACTTAACGAGTACTGTATACTTTTCTATAGAAATTGCAGGAATTGTGTCTGCTTCCTCACACAAACTGGTTCATTTATAGCCAAGAGGGATACGATAATTAGGGAAACTAGGGAAATAACAAAAAGATAAAAATCCCTTAATATCAACCCTAAAGATAAGCTATACATAGTTACTCTATTTACAGATATCTAATCATATTTTTTTACATTTTCTTTGAACTTATCCTCCCTCAGTATTTTTATTTTATAAAAGAAGGCTTATCAGAAGCAGGAATATCATAGGGATTACGGAGTGAGGCATAAGATTTCTTACTAAACAGCCAAAAGTAAAAAAAAAAACATATCAAAGAATAAAACTAGGGAAATAATATCTTGGCCACTTATTCCAAGGCCTAGCTGACTCCCAATTATATAAGTTCTTTTTGGTTTATAGGTTTCCTTTTTATTACCTGATGAGTGAGAATAAAATTACCATGTTTGTTTATATTATGCAGTGGAAACTTGTCTTGTGGTCTCCGAAATACTTCTTCAGCTGTCGTCCAGGTATGTGCCTGAAGCTATTTATTTTGACAACAGCAAATTAGGCTTGTTTTCTTTAGCATTCTCATTTTTATATTATGGTTTTTAATTTGATATGCACTAGAAACAACATATATCTTTGAAAAATCTGTCCATGCCTGCCTGTCTGTCTGTCTGTCTGTCTGTCAATTTTTTTTTGTTTTTTTTTTTTGGTGTAGATTATTAAAATGTATCTGTAGATTATTAATTTACAACGGAAAATCTTCAATAGACCCAAGGCATAAAAAGGTATACTCAACCTTGTTAGAAAAATGACTGATGTATAATCGTGCCTATCACATGCAAGAAACATGTTGCTTCAGATAATTAATCATTTTCAGAAAATTGAGTTCTTAATAACGGATTATAGGGAGATGTAAATCACAAGATTTAAGCTTTGGGGTATGAAATTTTAGAGTACATCAGGTGTTATTTGTGCTAGAATCTGCCCCTAAATCTAAAGCTACATGGATTTTTTTTCCATATGGCCATAAGACCATTATCCAGTGATTATGGTACAGAATAAAGTGTTAAAAAGAGCATAAGTGCTATAGAGATGACAATTGTGTTGGATGAGTGATATTACAAGAAAAGTTAGGGTGGTACTTCCTAAGGTTATAATAGATATATAGAGAGGAGTTGTGTGTGTGTGTGTGAGAGAGAGAGAGAGAGAGAATATTTCTGAAATGGAAAATATGTATTCAAACCGACTGAATAGACAGAGTACATGTAGTTTATATAGAGAGACAACAGCTTCTAACAGAAGCTGTTGGTGTATGACATTAACAGCTATTGGGCCTTTAACAGGAATAATGAAAGTGACTAACAGCACTAACGGACTAGGAATGCAACAGAAAATAATAAAACAGAAAAATGTAAGGTCCTACACTACTGCTGTACATATAAGTAAAGAGTAAAATGAATACTCAAATAGGTTAAGATGCTAGAATCATGCTTGAGATGATTTGGACTTGTGAGAAGACCAATAGAAGCTATAGATAGAAGGGTTGAACAAATGGAGGATAGCCTAATCATTTGAGTAGAGTAAGACCAAAAAAAGCTCCAAGTGAAACCATATAAAAAGATTTTGATTTAAGTAGCCTCTCTGAAGAATTGGCTTTTGATAGAACAAAATGGCACCTTTTGATTCATGTAATTTGGTTGTTGTGGTAGTTCGTTTTTTGCAGTTCTTGGTTTACAATTTGCTTTAACCAAACTATTTCCTCTTTGCAAATTAGTTTTCGGTGATTCTAGTCATGCTTATTGGTGCCTGTGATTTTTTTTTGTACCTTGTGTTGGACTGTTGGGATGATCTGCATATGCTTGAGAAACAAAAGTTTATTTACATTAGTGTCTCTTGGTTTTCATTTTCTGATATAACAGACGCCATACTTTCATTTTTCTTTAATCTGTATTGTTTCCTTGTCCTTTTCTTTGTTAAGAAGGATCTCTTGTCGTCATTTCTTCTTGCACCAAAAAAATAAAGTGCTATTTTTAATTGCAGGTTGATGGTGCAGAATCTTATTCAGTTGCAATGAAAGACGTGGGAATCAATGTTTCAGTCGAGGTACAAATGGATAAGTCATTGATATAAAAAATACATACTTACATATAATTAGTATATCTAAATAATTAGATCCGTACTTTTGGCAGGATCGTAAGAAAATTATTTTTGAGCAATCTAATGCATTAGCAGAAAGTGTAAATGGCCAAATTCTTATTCCAAAAGGTTTGCTTGATGAGGTAAGATTTGTTTGTTCCTTTTGTTCTACATTGTTATATATGTACATTTCTAATAATTTCCTTTTATATTTAATTTTAGGTTGTAAATCTTGTTGAGGCACCTTTTCCTGTGCTTGGAAAGTTTAAAGAAACCTTCTTAGATCTTCCAAAAGATCTTTTGACTATGGTGAGCACTTCACTTAAGTTGCTTTTGCCTTTTCACTTTTGCTGGGTATCCTTGTCACTTTTGATTATTAAGCTAGTTTAAATGATAATTTCATCTCGGATAGTGTTTTCATGAATTTGTTCAAGTTGATGCTGTCTGCATTTTTATTTTTTTTATTTTTTGAACTGATGTTGCAGTATACAAAATTTGCTTGTCTTTTTAATATTTAAATTGTGCGAGTGCCCTCTTTTTTTTTTTTTTTTATAGAAATAAATCCATTAAGAAAGTAAAGTGAAGTCAAATAATATAAGACATCCTCTCAAGAAAATACAATATAAACACTCAAACTAATATTAAATCATGTAACAAGGCATGCCAGTCTCCCTGCATATTTAACACAGAAGGACCTCTAAACAGTCCATTAGGTTGGGACAAGCCAAGAAAGTAACGTTGTCCCAAATGTTTTCTAGAGATGACGAAGTGCCCATTCTAGCACCTATTTCTAGCTCAAGACTACAGAGATGAGAGAACACCAATGATAGCACTGCCACTGAATTTTAGCTTTTTTACAAAAGCCGGGAACCTCTAAGGGAGAGTTTGGTGCATGGAAGTTTTTTTTTCCATGTTTGGAAATCATGATTTATGGAATTATATTTCTTAGGAATGATTAAAAGTTAAAACCCATTTGGTTGGTCATAAATTTTTTGAGAATATTTATAGATGTTACCTAAGAATCAATTTTTTTTACTGTATTAAATAAACAAATAAAGTTAATGTGATATTTTTTACTGCAATGAAACTTTCTTTTTGATTTGGGAATGTTAGATTCCCATGTACCCTCATTGGAACAATTTTGCTGGAAACCTATGTAAAAACATTCCTAGTAAACAATGCTTCTTAGGAATGCTATTTTTTAAATAAAAAATCAAATATGGGAAACTAACATTCTTAACTTTTGATTACTGAGAAAGTTAAAGCTTTTTGTGTACCAAATGCCTTCTAAATGTAATAAGGAGATTTGGGGAAATTGGATATGTCCTTGGGGAAGACCCAATTCTCTTCGAAAATCTCAAACAGCTTGTTTCAGAGAAAATTTGCTACAGAAAAGAATGATTACAGAACAAGGCCATTACAGACCTGTTAGGAGGATGGCAGTTAGGGCTTGCAATTTTGTAGAATGTGATTATTGTCAATCCTATTTTTAGTAGTCCAGACAAAAGATTTGACTTAAGGAGGGATTTGGCTTTACAAATGTGTTAATTTGTATGGAAACTATGTTAGAGAACATTCAGGAACTGAAAACACTACTGCTTTTAAAACCAGGCCAATCATTGAACCTGTGAAGGTACGATTCACAATTTATTGGTCTAATCATTGTTGAAATAGTGATAATTAGATATATTTTTCAAGTTACCTAGATACACGGTATAGCCAGGTTCGATGCATCATAGAAACTAGTAGTATTGTAATTATTCTCTTGTAATTTGTGTTGGCTTAATTATCTTTGTAATACTATTTAAAGGAGAATTGCAGGAATTGTGTTAATATCCACACATATTCTATTTTATTTATAGATTGCAATCAAGGAAATCAGGAAAGACAATCAAGAAAAGGATCTGTAATCCCTAATTTTTAGCTTTGCATATTTTTCATATCTTCAACACTATTGAATATAAATAAATCCATTCTTCTGGGTGGAATACTCACTGAAGCATGTTCAAAAAATAGTTGTTTCTCTCTTCTAACATAATATATTTAGTAATGTAATAATATAAAATCATAAACCAATTTAGGTAAAACATAAATTAAATAAAAGGATAGTTTAATTGAAAATTAACTAAATATTATTAAAAATGTAATTAACTTTAATACAATGTAGGATGTAATAAAGAATATGCATGAAATTAGTCAAATTACCAAGGAAAGTGGGCAGCGTGGTGATTACTGATGAAGGCTAAATGCAACATTCTGAGGAGCATGGTTTAACTCATGGGGGATGAGGTTTTGAATTTTGTGATATAATTTGAACCCATCATTAGTAAAACCATGACTAGTCCAGTAGTCCCAGTTGCACCAATTTAGTGGTTTATTGCACCAGTTTTCAGATGACTACTGTGATATATATGGGTTGATAGATCAATATAATTGGGTCATATTAGATTGAAAAAATAAAAGTAACCAGAAGCTTTAATGTGCCTGATGATTAGTCTTTTGTCTTTGGAATAGTTTTTTCCATCACTGTTGTGTTATTTTGGTAGCTGCTAGTTACTTCACTTGTGTACTAGTAGCCCAATGCGAGAATTGAGTAGTCCACAAGTTAATAATCAGCCTCTGGTTAACATAAATGAAAACCTAAAGGATAATATTAACTTCAGAAATGCTGGCCAAGCTGAAGGCCTACATAGACAGCTAAATTCCTGGTGTTAAGACCCTAATCAAAATACCTGTGACTGAAAGCCAAACTAGTGACATTTGTGAGTCTTCTTGACTTAATTTCCTCTTGATTGTACTGGTTGGATGGGTCATTATGAATTGAAAAGAATAGAAATGCCTCCAGGTTCTGAATATTGAAAATAGAAGCTAACCATTGTGCACCATACCTGCAGGTTATGCAAAAGCACCAAAAGTATTTTGCTGTATGTGATGCTAATGGGCAATTGTTGCCTTATTTTGTTGCCGTAAGTACTTTCCATTAGTCTTCTAGAATAACTACATGTTTTGAAATTTTATTTGTTAAATGATGAGATTTTTTCAGGTTGCAAATGGAACAATTGATGAGACTACAGTGAGGAAAGGAAATGAAGCTGTGCTCAGGTATTCTTATCTCAACTTTTTATCATGTTATATATAGTTTATTGAAAGAGAGGTGCTATGATACCTAGGCTCTCTTCTTGGGTATTAATGAGTTGTCAAACATTTTTTTAGTTTTTGGTTATATTTAATGACTTCTGTAAAAAAAAAAAAAAAAAAACTCTCCATAATGTTTAGGCTACATGTGAAGATACATTACTTTAAATGGTTTATCTTTCTAACACAATGCGCGTTAAGCTTAAGCTTGATGCTCAGAAATACACAATCCTCACTCTAATTTGGGCTGAAATTAAGCTTCATTTAGAAGAACGAGAACAAGAAGGATCAATTCTATCCCATTTTAAGGACCAACCAACCCAAAAGCTTAAGCTAATAAGCTGACCTTTGAATTGTTTTATATATTTAGTTAACTCAAAATATATATTGTGAGAACAAACAAACACAAAATAATTGAAACAAGGTATTACCTGGGTAAAATGGGTATTGGAGTAAGCCTTTATTAAAAGTTACACAATTTTGCTTTTTTACTTTGTTTATTTGAAATGTGTTATTGATGAAATATAAAATCATTCATTTTTCCCTCTCCTAACAGCTTAATTTTTTAGGATAGTTGGTTTATGACATGATATTGGAGCCTCTATAGTTCAGTTCTTCCCACCTTGCGTTCTTACTGCTAATAAGTTAACTTTCAGCACAAGGTAGGTTGGCCTGTGCATTATCTACATTCTATGCCCCAGGCCCAAAGGCTATTGTGATAGGGCACACTAGAGATGTAACATAAAACCTTTCATGTGTTCTCAACTAACAATTTAAGCTTCTGGTGTGACACCCTCTACCCCAACATTAATACACAATAAATGTAAACAATAATTTTTTTTTTCTTTCTTTTTGAGTAAATAAAATCTTTCATAGTTGACAACTTCTTTCATGGATAAAATAATTGTCTCAATTATCATAAGGTAGAAGATTCACATTCGTAACTCATAAATCATAAAAAGGTCAACACGTAAGTATCAAAACTCAAGAAATCATATAAAGGAAAATATAGATTAATTCCAGCAAAGGTGGCAGTGCCTCCTAGTTAGGAATTAATTTATAACTTTTAAATCATGTAATAAAATAGTATGACAAAGATGTATTTTGGTCTTTTCTCAAGAACGTTCAAAATTACAAAAGAAGAGAAAATTAAAGCTTTTAAAAACAATAACATCCCAAAAATAAGCCTAGCTATGCCCGATGTCACATCCTATCAGAGCATGCCCAACTGAAGCCTTAAGCCTCTTCACCAACATCCTCATGATGCTGATCTCCTGCAACATAATTTAAACATATACAAGAACAAGGGAGTGAGAAACAACTCACTCAGTTTTAGGTGAAGAAATAAAGGTTAGATAGCACACACACGCACAACAAATATAAGTCACATGTAAATAATACACATAAATAATCAATATCACATATATACTCATTTATCATGTAATGATATCATGGACTCGACTCATAAATGCATGCATGTGGCGCCATAAGGAAGTTTCACATATCATCACTGGTGACCCTAAGGTACACCTGGTTACATCACTGGTGACCCTAAGGTACACCTGGTTACATCACTAGTGACCCTAAGGTACACCTTGTTAGCATCACTGGTGATCCTAAGGTACACCTTGTTAGCATCACTGGCGACCCTAAGGTACACCTTGTTAGCATGTTACATCACTAGTGACCTTAAGGTACACCTTGTTAGCATCACTGGTGACCCTAAGGTACACCTTGTTAGCATCTGACAGCGACTGTGTCTCCTCCGGCGGTGACTCTGTCATCTCCAGCATATGCAACCTGTCTTCTTCAAAGAAAAGTTGGGCCAAATGGGCCCAAATTTTATTTTATCTTTTGATTTGGCCTTCACTATTTTTTTTTTAAGAAGGTAACTTCTCTTTATTATTAATTATTATTATAATTCAGATAATATTTTAAGTAATAAAAAATTTAATATAAAACCTTAAATATTTTGTTTTCTTAATTTTTTTATTATTTTGTTTAACTACTATAAATTTTAATTATTGAAATTATTTAATGTATAAATTAAGTTATGTTTCTATTTTTATATGTATATTATTAATTATATGTATTATAAATTATTTAATATTTATATATATATGTAAAAATAAATAAATAAGAATATGTTTATATATTATTAACTATATATTAATGTATGATTTTATTTTTTTTATATTTGTTTATATATATATATATATATGTTTTTATTGATCATGAATCTTACGATTCACGATACGATTCGATTCACGATTCAAAATATAAGCTTTCCGATACACTATTTGTATCCCGATTCAACTACCATGGCTACAACTCTTAGGGAGACATGGGATTTTAAAAGGATCATCTTCTTAGCTAAAAATTCAAAAATCACCACAAATATATTCAACGCTTACAACTAGACCTTTGATCACCAAAGTAGCTATAACTGGGGTGCAAACATCCCCTACACAATAACGCATCAACATCTAGGCCACAAAATACCTCAATCCTTCCAAACTTACTCCTTTCCACAAATTCATATCAAAGTTTCCCACTACAAACCAAACAACTCACATATTCAGTACAAAAGACTAAGAAAATAAAATTCACATGCAACCATCAAACTCTAGAAATCATCAACACTTCAATCTCTCCTTAAGAATACTAAAACTCCAATTCTCAACATACATCATCCTTGGATTCAATCGCGACAACTGTAGCTTTCAAAAATTTCACCAATCGTAAACTCTTAATACACTAAAAAAAAATCAATGTCTTACCAAAATCTAAGGCCTCATAGTCCCTACAATATTAGCACAATATCTCGTCTACTACTCGCACATATGCTTGCAACACAAGCGATATCACTCAGCCACTACTTCTTACATAAGCAAGAAGTATCAAACAAATAAGCAATCATAATAATGAAGAAGACAGAGATCCACAGAAAGCATTCTTATTCATATTAAAACTCAATTATTTTTTTAACATTAATTTCATATTCATTATTACTTTCAACAAGGAACAAAGTAGAGCAAACAGAAAGTAAACAGAACAACAAGCAAGGGATTGGGGGCCAATCCGACAATCAAACTATCCAACAATTATCCTCACACCCCCGAGCGAGGTTTCTCACTCCTCCCCTTACCTGGATAAGCGGAGTTGAAACTAGAGCAGAACCTCCTCTTCTGGATTTCCTCTTCCTTTCTCTCTCTCTTTCTTTCTCTTTCTCTTTCTTTCTCTCTCTTTCTTTCTCTTTCTCTCTCTTTCTTTCTTTCTCTCTCTAAGATTTTACCTTCTTAGTCAGTATAAATTCTTCACCCCTCCTGCCTCCTATTTATAGGCAACCAGGGGTTCCCGGAACGGCCCGTAGTGAATCTAGAACGGCCCGTTCCGGAGCCTTCAAATATACGTAAATTTTTTAACTTGAACGTCCCGTTCTAAAAGCAGAACGGCCCGTTTCCAAAATGCATAACGGCCCGTTCCAAAATCAGAACGGCCCGTTCTGAAGTTCATTTTACACACATTGACCTTTATTGGAACGGCCCGTTTCTAACTAAACTTTTTAGGCACTTTTAGAATCTCGGAATGGCCCGTTTCCCTTTGGGAACGTCCCGTTCTGGGAAAACCAAAATGGGTCTTTTTACATATTTGGAACGGCCCGTTCTGCCACTTCAAAAGCAGTTTATTTCCATTGTTTGGAATGGCCCGTTCCACTTTTGGAATAGCCCGTTCCAGCCTAAAAAAATGAATTTTATATAAAAATTTTCATAAATAATTTTAAATTATTAAAAACCTTTACAATATTCTATAAAACCCTTTAACTAACTAAAATAACTATAAGAAAAGTAATCTTCATAAATAGATAATAATTGATATTGTAATAGTAAAAATTCCGGGGTGTTACAATTCTCCCCTCCTTTTAAAATTTTCGTCCCCGAAATTTACCTGAAAACAGAAATGGATAAGCTTCTCGCATCTTGCTTTCTAATTCCCATGTAGCACTCACTACCTTATTGATGTACAACTCTATCAATCTCTCCAAGAAATGTGTAATGTTTATAAGTACAAGGTGAGCAAACTCGGTAAGCCTATCCATAAAATCAAATTTCTTAAGAATATCATACATAACTACAACTAAGTCCATAGATACAAAATCTTATTTTCAAATTAGGACGTCTAAAGGTTGCAATAAATTTGAAAGTTCTTGGTGTTCTGCCCTAGTTTTCTAACATACTAAGCAAGCATACACAAATTCCTCCACTTCCCTCTTCATCTTAGGCCACCAAAACATTTTCTTAAGGTCTTGGTACATCTTAGTGGCTCCTGGATGGATACTAAGGATACTCTTATGACCTTCTAGGATTCCTCTCTTAAGCTCTGGCACACTAGGAATGCACAACCTATCCTTAAATTTCAACACTCCATCCACTCCAATTATAAACTCACTTTTCACACCTTGATTCAACTTTTCTACTTGACTCAATAAGAAAAGGATCTACCTTTTGACCTTCTTTAATCTCATCTATCAAGCTATTAGGCACTCTCAAAGCTCCCAACTTAATACTCTTAAGGTCAACTTACACCTTAAGTTCATATCCCTAAACTCCTCAATCATATGCAATTCCCTAATCATCAAAGAAGACATTCTCAAAGATTTTCTACTTAAAGGTTTAGCTACAACATTAGCCTTACCGAGGTGATAATTCAATTGGAAGTCATAATCTTTAAGAAATTCTAACCATCTCCTCTACTTCTCTTTTCACCTTAGACCATCACGCTTCCGCTGTGCCACTCTGATACATTTTAGTAACTCTTACATAAATGCTAAGAGTACTCTTTATGTCCTTTCTCTAAGATCATCTTCCTTAATTCGAGTTTACTAGGCACATAGATTCTATCCTTGAACCCCAAAACACCATCAACTTCCACTTGAAAAAGGCTATTTATATTCCTACCAATCTTTT